ACTTGCTTCTCTTACTGACCAATAAATCTGCGGAAGGACATTTTGGAGACAAGGGGAAGAAGAAGAGGAAAGTTCAGGCTGTGTGTGAGGTTTGAAAGCAGGAGAATTATGCGAGAATCAGGGTGTCTGACCAGGTGAGGCCTTTTTTTAATCAGTCTGCCTGTGAGATGAGTTGATGCCTTTGTAGGGGACGTTACAGAGTCCCAAAGCATAGATACCTGTTCTAGGATTTGGCAGAAACTCATTCACAAAATAGCTGCCGAAATAATGCATCAACTCTGGCCACCTCCCAGTTGTTTCAGTGCCCCAAGCAATCTGATCCGGGTACCAGTGCCAAAGCTATTAAGAGTTTTCATTAACAACAGAGATACTGCAGCAAGAGAAACATGGCTATCAGCTGTAGCCAAGATATAAACCAGACTCATCTCCATGCAGGCTGAAGACAGTAGCATTTTAAGATGTGTTGTGAGCCCACCAAGCTAATGCAGACAGAATTGGGTGCTGATTCTAGAAAACAGAGAGTGGTGTTCCCTTTGAGAAGATAATGTTTCTGGGAAGAATCTTAAAGCCAATTTCAGTGTTTGGGAAAACAGGTTTTGCTTACCCCAGCAACCAAGTATCACTTCCTCCATCAACTGTCAATTTGCACCCTTCTTAGGGATACCTTACACCTTCCAGTTTTGTGCTGCTTCTTTTCTAGCCAATGAACTGGAAAACTATTGAAGTTGTCATTATTTAACAGAAACACCTATCCCTTTATAGCAAATACGCCGACCTTCTTGCAGCTAATTGGGAAAGAAAGAAAGGAAGGAAGGAAGGAAGGAAGGAAGGAAGGAAGGAAGGAAGGAAGGAAGGAAGGAAGGAAGAAAGAAAGAAAGAAAGAAAGAAAGAAAGAAAGAAAGAAAGAAAGAAAGAAAGAAAGAAAGAAGAGGGAGGGAGGAAGGAAAAGGAAGGAAGGAAGGAGGAAGGAAGGAAGGAAGGAAGGAAGGAAGGAAGGAAGGAAGGAAGGAAGGAAGGAAGGAAGGAAGGAAGGAAGCTAGTATGTCAGGTTTGTTACTTCAGCTTGGTGAGATCAAGGAAGCTTATGGCTGCTCTTATAAATAAATAAGGGAACCTCCGCTTAGCAACAAGTAAGCCATATGGTTCCTGTCCATTTTATTTTTCCCCCCTGAAAATTTTACCGTTTGGAACAGGAAACACAATGGCCTTTGTCCGCCAAAACAGAATCCCTGAAGTGTTGTCTGCAGAATTATATCCAGCTTTCTTGCGTCTCATGTAAAAGATCCCTTATGTGATTTTTTTATAAATAACTTAAAGCAGTGAAAAATAATTAAAAGTCATTCCTCCTTCTATTTTCCCTACAACGACCACCCTTTGGGGTGGGTTGAGCTAAGAGAGAGAGAGCGACTGGCTGCCAAAGTCACTCAGCTGGCTTTAATGACAAAGGAAGGACTAGAACTCACAGCCTCCTGGTTGTGAGTGGACTCCCGGTGAAAATACTTTAGTAAGGAAGACGAGACAAATGCGCCGAGCCCTGAGGTCAATTATATTCTTAAATTTCATTATCTCCCCTGGCGCAATTAGACTTCTTGGAGATCCGTCAACTCCGTGGCTATAACATGTCCTGAAGTAATTTTTCATTATCCAGTAGATGTTGTTAAACAGGATCGCCATTCCAAGAATTATCTGCCTTGCTTGGATGAATGACGCTTGGCAGCCCCATTTCCACACCCCGTGCCAAATCCTTGTCAATAATGCTGTAATCCATGCTTAAAGGAGCAAACAACCTCGTATTAGGTGTAAAAGATGGCTCGTTATACGAAAAGCTTGCTAAAAGAAATGCAGCCAGAGAGACGAAGAAACTTCGATTATCCCAGGGTATGGAAAAGCTGAGAGGAGGAACCAAGGGAAAGGAAATATTCGGTGTTATAAAACTCCACATCCATCTGATGCTGGAAACATGCCCAGGTCTGAAGAGCCCTTACGGACTCGCTTGGTTTGAGTGCTATTTTCTTCCAAATCGGCTCATTGTAACGCAAAGTGAAGATCGGTTGTTAATTCAAGATCAGTCTTGCTGTTCTTTATTTAGTATCCACTCAAAACGACCGCTTAACGTATCAAGAGAAACGATCATTTTAAGTGGGTTTAATCATTTCCCACTGACAATGTTAATACAAGACGGCATGCACAGGGTGTTTGTGTGTGTGTGTTTGTGTCTGTCTGTGTGTGTGTGTGAATAGAGATAGATGATAGAGATGGAGATATATAATTTCCTCTGTTCAGTTGGGTCTGATTTTCCAGAGACAGCCTGGAAAGGTTCCTGCAGTTTTCTCGGCAAGTTTTTCAGAAGTGACTTGTAACTGCCTCCTTTCTAAAGGTAAAGGTTTCCCTCGCACATATGTGCTAGTCGTTCCTGACTCTAGGGGGCGGTGCTCATCACCGTTTCAAAGCCGAAGAGCCAGCGCTGTCCAAAGACGCCTCCGTGGTCATGGGGCCGGCATGACTCAACACCAAAGGCGCACAGAACGCTGTTACCTTCCCACCAAAGGTGGTCCCTATTTTTCTACTTGCATTTTTTACCTGCTTTCGAACTGCTAGGTTGGCAGAAGCTGAGACAAGTAACGGGAGCTCCTCCATTACGCGGCGCTAGGGATTCGAACCGCTGAATTGCCGACCTTTCAAACGACAAGCTTAGCGTCTTAGCCACTGAGCCACCGCATCCCTACTCCTTTCTAGGACTGAGAGAAAGTACCTGGCCCAAGGTCACCCAGCTAGCCAAGGTGAATTCAGAACCAAAAATACCGAGTCGGGAATCTCAAAGTCTCAATTGCCTCAGGTCTAGCGATTCGAACTGTGTGAATGCCAACATGTTCTCTGACAGTCCAAACTAAACATTTTGCTTTGCATCCCACGTGAAAGTCACAAAACACTCTAAAGCCATTCAGTGGGCAATAGGCCTTTTTTCTTTCATAAATATCAGCTGCTGTACAAGGTCAGGTCCGTAACAAATAAATGCTGGAGAATAATGGTCCCCTTCAGTACTCCAGCCAGTTCAACTTCTTTCAAAATAATCCATTCAATTCACCGTTAGCCCAGAAAGCGCCGCCTTTATAGTTTGCTGAACACTCATTTTTGTTGTTGTTGTTGATGTGACTTCTTCACACCAGGCATAATTAATCTGCGAAGTTCATCACCACGCGATCAAGCTAGTCTTTGACTTAGGATCACAATTGGGACCAGACTTTTCCGTTTCTAAGCAAGGCGGTTAAGAATTCACTGTTGTTATTTAAGTTGTTAAATGAGTCGCCCCCTAATTTTACAAGCTTCTCTGCCACAGCTGCTAAGCGAATCGGATGGTCATCAAGCGAAGCCAGCTTCCCCCTTTGACTTTGCTTGTCGGAAGGCGGCTGGGAAAGTCACAGGTGGTGATCACATGACCCCAGGATGCTGCAACCGTCATAAATACATGCCTGTTTCCCACTGCTCGAATTTTGATCTAGCGGTCGTTAAGTGATGACCATTCATAAGCCATTCTTTTTAAGTGCTGCTGTAACTCCGAACGGTCACTAAACAAATGATTTTAAATCAAGGACTACCTGAAAACGGGAATGACTGAATCCATGCAAAACTAGGGAATTAAGGGCTATTACTTTTGAAATTTCCGTGTTATCTTGAGGGGAGATAATATTCCTCCAAATGCTTGCTGCAGAAACAATGGCAGGAGAGGAATATATCTATATCTCCTGCTTATGAGCAACCAGAAAAAAAAATATATTGGGTTCAGAAAGTGTCAGGCTTGCCCAGGGGTGAAATCTAGCAGGTTCTGACAGGTTCTAGAGAACCGGTAGCGGAAATTTTGAGTAGTTCGGAGAACTGGCAAATACCACCTCTGACTGGCTCCAGAGTGAGGTGGGAATGGAGATTTTGCAATATCCTTCCCCCAGGAGTGGGGAGGGAATGGGGATTTTGCAATATCCTTCCCCTGGAGTGGGGTGGGAATGGAGATTTGGCAGTATCCTTCCCTGCCATGCCCACCAAGCCACACTCATCAAGCCACACCACGCCCACTAAGCCACACCCACAGAACCGGTAGTAAAAAAAATTGTATTTCACCACTGGGCTTGCCCCAATGTAGGCTTCTAAGTAAAAAACAAAACAAAACAATATTTAGCACCGTTGGGTTGAGAAAGGTATGATTTCCTGGAAGCCAAGTGAAATACAGTAGTGCAAAGCCAGAACTGAAATTTGTGTGGCAAAACTCCAAGTGAAAGCTTTTCCCCACTTAGGCACTTCCCATTGCTGGTGTCCCTTCCCCCCCATCAATTTCAAAGAAGATGTTTTAGAAATGGCCGCTCTGATTGTAGGATGGCTTGAAGCCAGGGGTGGGATTCTACCGGTTCAGGAGAACCAGTAGCTCCAACGATCAGCTGGGAGCGAACTGGTTTTCCCCGGTGATCAGATGGGCCCACTTGCCCACCCGCACTAATTTCCTACCTTTACCTTCTCAGCTGATTCGTGCGGCAGAGCAGATTCCCGCGCCTCAGCTGTGTTTCTTCTCCGAAGAAACGTGGAAGTGAAGATTTCTTCAAACTGCACACACGTCCTCGAAACACCGTCTTGGATAGGTACTTTCACTTTCTTAACTTTCACTCTGTCCCCCAAGCGTTCCCCCTCCCTCTCCGCCTCCCCTAGGGTTCGAGGCAGACTGGTACCGAAGCGATTGCAGAGAGCAGGCGTGAGGTGGCAGTTCTGACAGAAAGGCCTGAGCAAGCAGTCCTATCCTTAAATTCTTAAGAGGGTGCCGTTTTGTCTTTTTAAAAAAATCTATACAAGGATAATGCTCACTCCCTTGAACTACTAATTAATGGCAGAGATGACGATCGTAAGAACGCTTCTATTTCCATTTTTCAGATATTTCCATCAGCCCTCATCAACCTGCTTCACCCAAGTTCACTTTTAAAACCCATACCACACATGCAGCGGGGGAAAAAATGTTTTACCTCTCCATGTCTTAAAGGAGTAATTGTTCCTCTTGATACTCCCATGCGGAATAGTGCTTCTGTGGCCTGCAGGCGAAAAGAGAGAATATTTGAAATAAAATGTTCTGCTTTTTGAAATTACAACATTCACAGGGCATTTACCGTATTTTTTGTAGTATAAGATGCACCGGAGTATAAGACGCACCTTAGTTTTGGGGGAGGAAAATAAGAAAAAAGCTGATTGGTGGGTGGATCAGCCTCCCGGAATACCCCCAATCAGCTGTTCCCAGAGGTGAATTTTAGCAACAGGTTGTGAGCTCTGTGCCTTGCTTTTTTTTTGCTTTTTTTTCTGCCTCTGAAACTTTTGAAACTCCGTTTCAGAAAAATACTTTATTTCCTGCCTCTGAAAGCCTCTGAAACAGAGCTTCAGAAAAAAAGCCTCTGTTTGGGGACTTCTTTTCTGAAGCTTCGTTTCTGATGCTTTTTTCAGCCTCTGAAACCTGTTTAAGAAGCCAGGCTGGGCTACATTTGGAATATAAGACGCACCCTACATGGCATAAAACTGAGTTACTTGAGGAATCACCCACCTCTCATAGGTTTCTACCCATTCAGCAAGAGCTGGCAAGATGGCACACTCTGGGTCCCTTTTGATTCCGTATCAGGGCCCAGGAATGTATCTTCTCTCATACAGAGTCTATATGGTGAAATGAGATTCCCCCCATAGATTCATGTACTTCCAACACCAAGGATTTTTCCAGAAAGCCTTGAATGTTCCCCCAGAATTTGGGGGAAAGTGGACATAATTCACTTTTTGTGCATTGTTTGTGCGTTGTATTGTCTTTTTTTTTTTTATCGTTGTTTTTGTACTGTGAGCCTCCCAGTGTCCTTTCTGTGCCAAGCAGAAGCTAAATCTCTTGAAAATAAATGAACTACATTTATAACCATCCTTAAATCTATCTCTCGGCTAATTCAGCGCAAAGTTCAAATGTGAAAGAGAAAATTCGAAATTTCCAAACAAAGACCATGCTTTTCTCAACATTACCAACACTAATGAAAACAATATAGAGAATGGTCAAACAAAACACAGCTTTGATCATGATACAAAAGAATTCAATGGTTAGAGTTACAAAAACTCATCGTGCATTTAAGAATACTGCGGGTTTGTTAATGTTTAAAGTATGTAGGAAATTTTTTTTTTTTAAATGCATAATAATAACCCTATTTTTTTTGCTTAAAGCGGTTGTTTAAAAATTATGGATTACATGTGTATCTTATCTCCTACCTTTCAGGAACTCTCAATGCCTTTTTTATTCCTTTGTACTTTCAACTGTGAGTGAGATGGGGGCAAAGAATCCATCTGCCAAGTCAGAGACCTCATTTATTTTCTCATTTAGACCCACCAGAAGTTGCAAGCGGGTCTCAAGACCTAATTCTACATTCCCTTGAAGATTAAAAGGGTGACAACTTCATGCAGCCTTTTTGTGTTCTTCACAAAACTGATTTCTTTCATCAGTTCTTCCTATCAACATTTTGAAGACCTTGCGGCAAAATAGAGCATTCTGTCAATACTGCTAAGCTTCTTTTGTTTCTATTGAGAACCAATGATCTATGTAACTTTCCTTCTTCTTCCACTGATAAGAGAACTCCTTTAATATACTTGTACTCACATAAGCTAAAACTCAGTTGTCAAAGCTTCTTAGATAAAAGGGTGTTTCACAGCTTGGGTGAGCCCAGAACTGTGGAGTTCTTGATAGAATCACCATTCACATATGCTAAGAAGATTAAGTATATTCCTGAAGTGTTCTGTTTAAAATAAAGTTTGGGGGGGAAGGAGGCTTATCATAGCCAAAACATCTCAATAGTTAGCTTTCTTTAAAAAAAAAAAAATAGAGAGGATTATGTAATTAGATAAGACAGAAGATGGAATTTCTGGCAAATGAAAGGCAGTATTAAAAGAAACATTAACTGACCGCATTAAAAAAAATGGGAAGAATGGATTTTAAGAGAGAAGATCTAAATATATATATATAAACAATGTAGTAACTGGGTTTAAAGAAAAATATTGCAATAAACAAACATGGTCCTGGAAATATTCATGCAATAAAACCCTAAAAATCTCTTTCAAATGTTATTAGTATAATACACTGGCACAAGTTTTCATCAGCTCTGCAAATCTGTATCAAGGGGGGGGAAATTAAGTCATAAGAGCTTAAAAGTTAAAAAATAATAATATTTCCTAGCCAATTCTAAAGACATAATTCAAAAGCTCATGTCTGCTGAAGAAAGAATTTCTTTCTTCAAGTAAGACAAATCCCTTGGTTCCTGATGTATCGTTAATATTTGCTTTGGGGGAAAGGTATACCCTTCACAGCAGTTATTATAGGTGCCTGAGAAGAGTGATATTACATGAGAAAACATGAGAAAACCTTAAAACATTGTCCCGTTCCATTTTAAGATTCGCCAAAGGCATTTTTTTTCAGGTTTGCTCATCAAAAACGATTTTAACATTATTTGTATCCACCTTTCCACCTTACCCCGAGATTCCCCAAGGAGCATCGAAATTACAATGAAATATATACTATAACTAAAATAATGATACAATAATGAATAACCTCCAATGAGATTATTTAAAAACAAAATATTGCAAAACAATTCCATAAAAGCAGTGATTGCCTGTAAAACATTTTCATCCAGCACCTAAATCTAAACAAATTTGGGTCATTCCCCAACCTCGGCAAAATAAAGTGAAGCAGAACTGTTCCTGCCTGTGAAAGAAAGTATGAGGTTATGGGATAGTAGCAGTAAATCATGATGCTGTCATAAGATGAGCTCAATGAGAACTGTGTCCTGTGTTATATAAAGCAGGGGTCTCCAACCTTGGTCACTTTAAGACTTGTGGACTTCAACTCCCAGAATTCCCATGCTGGCTGGGGAATTCTGGGAGTTGAAGTCCACAAGTCTTAAAGTGGCCAAGGTTGGAGACCCCTGATATAAAGAGAATGCACTGTAGAATACCATATAATAAGTATCCATAACCAACATCATCATTCTAGTCCTTGTCTATCCACTGAAGGATGAAGGCCTCTTCTGCATGTTTCCAACCTACATGTTTCCAACCTATACTTGCTGATGTCATCACTTCATCTTGTTTTAGCAATAGCAATAGCACTTAAGACTTATATACCGCTTCACATTGCTTTTCAGCCCTCTCTAAGTGGTTTACAGAGTCAGCCTCTTGCCCCCAACAATCTGGGTCCTCATTTTACCGACTTCGGAAGGATGGAAGGCTGAGTGAAGCTTGAGCCTGGTGAGATTCGAACTGCCAAATTGCAGGTAGCTGACAGTCAGCAGAAGTAGCCTGCAGTACTGCATTCTAACCACTGCGCCACCATGGCTCATTGGGTCTCTTTCATGGACATTTTTTAATCAAGTGGAATCCATTCTATGACTGCCTTGGTCCACCTGCCATCAGTTCTTCTTGCTAGGCAACCAGCCCATTTCCATTTCCATTTCCATTTCCATTCTGGGCTGGTCGTATATTGTTTTTAGGCATTAATTAATTCAACAATATATTGAGACATACACTCTGTTTTCCAGTATTAACCAACATCATTCCTCATGCCTACAAATGTCAGAAAAATAGTTGTTCTACCTTTCAAATAATTGTCAACATGTCTTGCAAAGAAAACCAGGGATAGACTTAATGTGGTCTTAAGGACAACTGTAACCACAATTTTTGGTTAAAAATTCTGGATAGAAGCCAGATCCAATTCTTACCCTTCCGCTAAAGAACATCATTAAATTTAAACAACACACACAAGCCCAAAAGATTCGTGCATATTATGAATTCCTGGCCCCAGCCCAAGTCATTAGCCAAATAAGCAGTAATTAAATCCAATAGAAATGGGTGCATTTTTCACCCAGGGCTGCATATTGCTTCATTAAATACCAGATACAAAATGCCAACAGGTGACAGTGTAATGTTTCTTCATTCCATTTAAACAGCACGCCAATTATTTTTCAAGACAGAATGCCAATTATTTGGTTGCGATCAGATTCCTATCAGGCATGGCATGAATTCAATCAAGTATCTGCAAACTCATTATAACCTCTAATTCTATTATCTGAGTCTATTAAAAAGAAAAAAAGCTAACACGACAGCTCTCAAAGACACAAAATGTTATAAGTTATAATTTGACTTCAAGACAAAGAAAGATTGAAAGCTGAGGCTTTTCCAAATGGAGTGAAAAACTGGGGAAGTTCTTTAAAAACAAATAAATAACTATAAATTATAATTTGAAGGAAGTTTCACCAAAAAAAAAAGTATCAGCAGTTGAAATAGTCAGACTTACGCATAGCTTGTGCCTTATGTTCCATAAGTCACATATTTAAATGAATGGAAATATAAATCGATTACATAAATAAACTGTAAAGGTAAAGGTTCCCCTCGCACATATGTGCTAGCCGTTCCCAACTCTAGGGGGCAGTGCTCATCTCCATTTTAAAGCCAAAGAGCCAGCGCTGTCCGAAGACATCTCCATGGTCATGTGGCCAGCATGACTCAACGCCAAAGGCACATGGAACGCTGTTACCTTCTCACCAAAGGTAGTCCCTATTTTTCTACTTGCATTTTTTATGTGCTTTCGAACTGCTAGGTTGGCAGAAGCTGGGACAAATAACGGGAGCTCACCGCGTTATGTAGCACTAGGGATTCGAACCGCTGAACGCCGACCTTTTGATCAACAAGCTCAGCGTCTTAGCCACTGAGCCACTGCATTCCTAAATAAACTATAGGAACGTAAAATATACTGTATCTATGAGAGATGCATATTTGTTTCCAAGAAGAAAGAAATGAAACTAACAAACAGATGTTCATGGGCAAAAGTAAAGATAGGTAGTCCTTGATTTACAATCCCAGTTGGGACCAGAATTTCCGTTGTTAAGCAAGACGGTTAAGAGAGCTGCGACCAATTTTACAACTTTCTAAATAGGTTCTCAGTCATCCAGGTCATTTATACATAAATTCAAACTGCAAAAAAATGCATCTTGTCCAACTACCAGTGATTTACTACAACTTCACAGTACAC